AAGGGACTGAAATCTGAAAGAGAGCAGAACAAACGCCATCGCCCCTCTCTGACACCACCCCCACATACAGCATCACAACCCAGCAACTGGATCGCCCCACCCAGGTGAACACCTAAGGCTCCGCCCCTCATACGAAACTGGTGCGAGCAGACCAAAACATGATGGCTCAAGCAGAACAGCTCGAAGCTACAGAGCCAATACTTCTAAGCAAACAAGAGATAGCCAACCTATCAGATGCATAGTTCAGAACACTGGTGATCAGGATGCTCACAGAACTGGTTGACTTTAGTCACAAATTAGAGGAACAAATGAAGGCTAAACTAATTGAAATGAAGGGGAATGCACAGGAAACCAATAGTGATGAAAAGGAAACTGGGACTCAAATCAAGGGAGTGGACCAGAAAGAAGAAAAATATGACCAAACAGAAAGGATGAAGAAACAAGAATTCAAAAAAAATGAGGAGGCTTAGGAACCTCCAGGACATCTTTAATCATTCCAACATCGAATTATAGGGATACCAGAAGGGGAAGAGGAAAAGTGACAAGTGGAAAACTTATTTGAACAAATAATAAAGAAGAACATCCCCAATGTGGCAAAGGAAATAGACTTCCAGGAAGTCCAGGAAGCTCAGAGAGTCCCAAAGAAGGTGGACCCAAGGAGAAACACACTAAGGCACAAGAGAACTGCATTAGCCAAGATTCAAATGAAGGAGAGAATCCTAGAAGCAAGACATAAGGGGACAGTCACCTACAAAGGAGTTCCCATCAGACTGTCAGCTGATTTCTCAAAAGAGACCTTACAGGCAAGAAGGGGCTGGAAAGAAGTATTCCAAGTCATGAAATCCAAAGACCTACATCCAAGATTGCTCTATCCAGCAAAGCTTTCATTTAGAATGGAAGGGCAGATAAAGTACTTCCCAGATAAGGTCAAGTTCAAGCAGTTCATCATCACCAAGGCCTTATTTAATGAAATGTTAAAGGGACTTATCTAAGAAAAAGGAGTTGAAAAATTTGAACAGTGAAAGGACAGCAAACTCAGTTATTAACAACCACACCTAAAACAAAAGCAAACTAAAAGGACAGCTAGATCAGGAGTGGAACCATAGAAATGAAGATCTCAAGGAGGGTTAGCAACAGGGGAGTGGGAGGAGGAGAAGGGGGAGAAGATACAGAAAATAAGTAGCATAGACAGTAGATAGAAAATAGATGGGGGGGCAAGAATAGTATGGGAAATATAGAATCTAAAGAACTTGAGACACATGGTCATAAACTAAAGGGGGAAAATGGTGGGGGAGGGGTGTGCAGGATGGAGGGGAATGAGGGGGGGAATGGGACAACTGTAATGGCATAATCAATAAAATAGATTAAAAAGAAAAAAAAAGCCTGTAAAAAAATAAAGAGAAAAAGAGACAGAGGATGAAGAACCAGCATGGGAAAGACAGAAAATCAGATTTAGGAGAAAGAATAAGTTATAGGTACCAAGTTTGGGCACTAGACTTCTAAATGGAACTACAACTACATTAAGGGATTGTCTGGTTAAATAAGAATCAACAAAGAATAAGGGAGAAAATAGTAGAAGGGAAAAGCTTACGTAAGCTTACTTGGGTAAAATAAGATTCCACAAAGAGACCTGCAGGAAGGAAGGATGAGAGAGGACAGGGATTGGAATAGGTGGTGCGTGGGCGTGAGGGAGGACATCAAAAGAGAAGGTGCACCCACACAGCTCAGAATGCATCAAGAGAAAAGCAAACCCCAGAGAAAACTGCACAGAGTTAAGAAAAGTACAAATATGTAAAGGTTAGGAAAGCAAAGCACTAAGTCCCTAGGGAGCTGTCCCAGAGGGGCTGAGCGACAAAGGAGAACAAGGGTGCGTCCAGAGCCCTGGGGAAGAGGAATATTAATCTTGTCATCTAGACTGTGTGCTCTGGGAATGTTTGATAATGCCTCATACTCATCCTGTATCTTACTTAAAAGTGCACTACAGGGAACAAAATCCCCAAATTGAGGGTGAGTGTGTATGTGTGCATGTATGTAATTTTTTATTGTATGCTTTATTATTCATGTTGTTTTTCTTCTTGCATGTTTCACTTACAATGAATGGTAAGAAAGTGAAGACCATCACCACTACCATCATCACCATCATCATCATCACGAGGATAACACAATAGTGAAGATAATAGCTATTACATGCCACTATGCTGTTTTACTTCATATAGTACTTCAATCAATCCTGAAAAAAAAGTTCAATACCTTAGGCCAAACATCAAAATTAATTCCTGCTGTATTAAAGAATAGAATAAAAAATTAAAATAACAAGAATAAAATATAGGTGAATAATTATACTAAAAATAACGTAAATTGTCCATCAGTAGGGAGTGGCTAAACAAATGATGCCATATGCACAATAAAGTATCATGAAGTCACTACAATCTATGAGGTAAATCAAAGTTTATTGACCTGGAAGCATGATTGTGCTGAACCTGTAAGCAAAATGCAGGATACTGAAGACATGTGTAGTGTATACAGTGAAGTCTGAAAGGATATGTACCAAACTGAAACCGTCTAGGTCACCTCTATGGGTATGGAAATGGAGGGGCCAGAGGAACTGGAAGCACTTTTACTTCTTAGAGTGGCAGAGCTATGAATTATTTCAATTATTTGTGTTCAATATTTTCCAAAGAAAAAAAATTTAACAAACTTTTATGTGGCAGACTCTGGCCGGCAGAGTCTGTGTGTTATGGCTGAAGACGAAAACAAATGTAGACTACAGCAGTCCTGTGGGGGAAAGAGACTGTACAGTACTCTCTCAAGGTGACAGTCCTATGGCCGCTCCTCTCAAGGGGAGAGCGCCCCAACCCTTGCCTGGATAGGCTTTTATTGTTTTTCTTGGGTCCTACATCAAGGAAGGATTTATAATCTATTACATAGAATGTTATTGTCTACATTTTAGGTACAATCAAGGCAAGGAAAATAACAAATGCAGAAGGGAAAGGTGGCAAGCTGATTAGCTCCGTCCTTGGGAAAATTTACACAGGCTTTGGAAACTACCTTGAAGGTAGGCAATAAACATCTACTGTTGCAGACCAGGGTGAGTGAGTTCTATCAAGAGCAAGCCATAATAGTTGGGATGCATTTTCTAGGCCTGATTCCCAGGGGAAAACCGGTTTGAGGGTCTGGCTCTTGCCCACCACCTCGCTCCTGTTAGCTTTTGATATAGGGCTGAGTCACAATCGCCAAATTCAAACAAACCGGTTCCCTACAGTTTTAAAGTGAAAAAAGTATATAATAGGGTTAAAGAAGGTCTTCTAAGCATAATACTAAAGACAAAAACTAGACAAGAAATTATTTAAAATGTGAAACTTACAACAAATGACAAACTTATAAAAAGTATTTGCGACATAGATTGTGATAAATACTGTGGACCAGCTCACTCAACCTCCATTCCTCCATCCTTGTGTCTGTAGAGTGTGTGAAGCTTAAAACTGCATTTCTGTAATTACCCTGCAGCTCGGATTCTGGACATAAACTAGGTTCTGCTAATCAGAGCCCATCTTTCTGCTTCTGTTGCTATTAGCAACTACCCTGCTTCTGCTTCTTTTGTCTATATTCAATTTTCATATCCTCAGCCAGATACAGCAAAACCTTTACTGTATACACTCATGAATGTCTGTATGTGAGCACATGTGAAAGCTCTTCCGATCAACCTACAGCCCTCCTGAAATGTCAGTAGGAGACGCCGGTGTGAGAAGGAAGCCAGGTAGTTGTACAGGGGTGGGCAAAAGTAGGTTTACAGTTGCATGCAACATTCTTTTGAGATGATAAAATTATTGTACTAATCATAACCTGCATGTCATTTTCCAGATGAACAACTGTAAACCTACTTTTGTGATTTGAATGTTTTCAAATGGAACAATGACAGTTGTTGAGTGATTGTTTCTGCTGAAACTGAATAAATGGACTGTCAGCAGCATTAAGAGTTAAAGTGGCACTGGGTCTAAGGTACACTAATGTCTACAGGCAGAAAAAATGTATCTATGCATACACGGTGGGGATGGTACTGGTCATCTACTAGAACATCAGATCACATATATTTGGGCAACTACCTCCAAATATGTCCAATTTACTTTCAACACTAAAGAATGAACACTAACAAAACTGATTTAAATAAACCCCTCCATTTCAGCAACTCTAGAGAGGTTGTGGACAAAAGACCAGTTTACATAGTAACACCTACTAAATAAGGTGTAGTCTATGAACATACTAAAAGTATAAACAGGTAATGTATAAGATTTATCCTCAGTACAATGGGCAAATAATACTGGATTTACTCAAGCACTTGAAAGAATGTGTTGTATATAGTTTTAGGTACTTATCGTGAAATATTTAAACCTAAAAAAAAATCTAAACATTATTATTAAAATTTCCCACAAAGATTTCAGCTCAGCGGTCTGGTTACACAGGCTACGTTCGGTCCGTTTCACAAGGTGCTCAGCTCCATGCTGCAGTGCAGAATGGCTGTTAGTCAGGTGAAGTCAGGTCCCAGGTACATACTCTCAAACTACTTTCAGGTTCTGAGGAAGAGTCACCCTTTAAGACTACAGACACAATCTACTTGCTGCCGCCACATGGAGTGTGGAACTTGAATGCACCAGGGTGGTCATGCAGTGTAACTCCTGATCCACAGCACAGAACTAAAGGGACTGGAATAATCTTCAGCCAGCGGTGGCTGCCCTAAATTGTTTTAGTCAGCTCTCCCTTCTGCTTAACTATTTGAGGAAGGCTACTCTGCAGTTTTATATAACATCTATCTTCATTCTTTAAGTACAACAATTTTCCTCCAGTTAAAATAAAAACTGAATTATGCTTTGTAACAAACACCTCATCTTCCTCAAAGAGAATGCATGGCTGTTTGTGTTCCTCATCCACGTTTTTAAACATTGACAGTTTTAAGTAAAGACAAGATACAGGTTAGTTTTCAGTTTTATTAAAGTTGTGTTTTCCCAAGGAATATATTACACTTAATGTTCAATACCATAAATAGATTAGTTTTTAAATCTTCTATTTTACTATTAAAAATGTAAACATAAAAGACAATAATTAACCACTCTATCCAACCCTCACTAAATGTATCTCTCTCTCTCTCTCTCTCTCTCACACACACACACACACACACACACACACACACACACACACACACACACAGTCATCCTTCAGGTAAGTTCTTTCTTCAGAATGAGCAGCACAGACTTTATTAAAATGTGAGTCCCCTGGGCGGTAAGGACCCGGCACGAATGGCTGGGGCCCATTATAAAACAGGCCCGTGGGGCTGTGACTGAAGTCTGCCTCCACCTGCCATGACTGCTCAAAGGCCCTGAGAGCCAGGCTCCTCTCTCTCCATTCAGCTCCCAAGGACATGGGCACTGCTAAGGCATGAAGCACACGACACTGTGATGACCGTGACATGGAAGCCAGCACACTCCAAGAAGAGGTGGACCGGAGCCAGCAGTGACCTGGCAATTCTGGATGAGTACAGTCATAGAACACTAGAGCTGGAAAGATTCTGACAAAGCATCTGGTCATTTTACAGATGGTTTCAATCAGTGAGTCTTCTAATATTAAAGAGAATATCGATACTCAATTTTATAGAATATTCTAGTACACTTATTTATATATCTTCCTAAAACTATTTAAACTTAATTTATGTTTCATATTCAAGTATTGATAAAATCTTAAGCCAACTTATTAGACTGAAACTAATTTTAAGCATAATTTATAACATTTTTAGAGTGTCTATTTGGTCTTAACAAAAATAACTATCCTTAAGAAATAAGTAAAGGACAAGGACATTTTTCAGGAGAATATTGGAGGGATTTACATGGGAACCTCCTAACTGCTTGCCAGTTTCTTTAAAGCTGTCAGCTCAAGTCTACTGACATGGCTTTTGCTTCCTTCCGGTAAATTCTGTTCTTGAAAACCTGAGAGACAAAGTCACTTGATACAATTGGGACCTTAACACTATCAAAATAAACCTAAGTCTGAACTGAAAACTGAGGTAGTCAGTTTTTATAAGCACTTGACACTTCTGAGTCAGAAAGGGACTCTAACCTCCTATTCCCAAACCAGCTACTCCCCACTGCCCTCCCCTGCCCACCTCCCTTCTCCCACAGCTGCAGCCTGCCCAGTCTCTTTCTCAGTGAACTGGTTTTGCTAACATGAAGGGCATAACCTGCCACAGAATACTAACAGTTATGCCATTTTTAATTCTTCAATTCAAAACTGAACTCTAGCCCACTATTTCTGCATTGAAATCTCAGATTTTAAGCCTTTTTTAGAATAATGTCCTAATCTAAGTGACTAAAATGTGCCTCTTATAATTTCTTACAAGTCTTCACTGAGTAAACTATGAAAATCAGTGATAAGCAATCACTTTTAAGACTTGAAGACAAAGGAAGACAGCAGCACATTTAGTTACCCTCAGAAATTCAAGATTTGTTAACATATATTTTATCAAGTTTCATATTTGTGCAGAGAAAACACTGGGCTTCCAGATTCCAAGCTTAATAAATATATATAGAAAAAATGTCATCTATAATATTTTCTCCAGAAAGTCATTAGTGCAAATATAATTGTATCAATAAAAAATAAAGTAAAAATATATTTCAAGTATAAAAAGCACCATGCTCAGAAACAATACTACCTAAATGGCATTACTGCACAACAGTCAAAAATATAATCAAACCTATCATTGTAAATCTCAAATGTATCCTTAATCCACAGTACTTTTGGTGAAATTCTTTATACAACTTTGCAGGATGATTCATAATTACAATAGGCATACAAGTCTAGATTTCTATAATTTTCTTTAAAAATATACTCTATACTCTTCTCAGACCTTGCTCAATTTAAGGTACACATGACACGGGCAGGGAATAGAGCACTGACCCAACACCTTCGACCCTTAGCCTCTCTTTAGCTGAAGGTGGATATGCTACAGACCCTCAGCTTTTCACAATGATAAATACCTTAAATTCAAAACTGCATGCTTAAATACATAGTTAAAATATATGCATTAAAACAGGCAACTTTCCTTTATACTGGGGTTGCTGTTTGACCCCAGTGCCAGTCAGCTGGAAGTACTCCTTAGTAATTATGCTACTTGCTTGTTTGCACAATTTCATATATAGAGTGCTCGATAACTATCTGATGAATTAAAGGGCTAACCAATGAATGAATGAATGAATGAATGAATGCTTGTCTAAGGGATGTGTTTATGATGCTACAGGACTTACCACCTTTAGAGAAAAACTGGGCATCATTCATCATTAAAGAATTTAATTAGTAAAGTGGGGTTGGTGAGATCCAGAGCAGAAGTGCTTCTGTGGACCAGAATCTACACGGTAACAGAAGTGTCAAAAGCAGGAGGTCACGAGGACATCACCTCCTTTGAAAGCAAACGCTATCTTTCAACTTCTGAGAATTAAGCCACGTGTTATATGGGAAAGGGGACGCTACTGGATAGGCTGTGCATCAAACCCACACTTTGCTATTGGTAAACGATGCAGACGATCTTGTTTTGACTTATTTTTCTTCTTACATATAAAATAATTTTCAGACAGAAGTTCTTCTGAAACAATTCCTAAGCCCATGTGAAGACAAATGCATATTTGTCTATACCAGAATTTCTTTTCTATTTCTGTAGAATTATAGTTGTCATAACTATTATCTGAAAAGTATATTTATGTTTTCTTCTGTTTGCATGTCTTCAATGTCTTCTACAGGGCACATTACTTTTCTTTCTCTGCTTCTACAGCTTTTCAAGTCATTATTTAGACAAATGGAGAAGACCACAGGAAACTGAGCTATGAAGATCAATGAGTAAGAGATACAGCTGGAAGAGGGCTACCAATACATAATGATTCAGTAGTGAACTGAACCACATAGCTAGTTTTAAAAAGGCAAGTACGGCTAAATCATAAGATTTAGTAAAACATAATTCAAAAAAGAATTTTAGAACAATGAAAATAATGATTTAAGTGTACCAGATATAGCCGTTATTTCAAAACAGGTGTAACAGTGATGTAGAAACCTCAATTGAATTATTTTCTCTAAGTCAAAGGACAATTTATACCTCTGGAGACAGGATCAACAACTTATAATCTTGCTATTCTTTAAATTATTGCAGTATTGATGAACTTTCTCATCATTTTAGGTTAATGAGAATGCTGAGGTATATACTCTGAAAATTTCACCAATATCCCATTTTCAAAAGAAAATTTCAGGAAGGTTATGTATCCTGAAAAATAAGAGACTTGATGACTTGGAATTCCTTCCGCTTCTCCCGCCGAGGCTGTTGGGATGCTGATGGAGAGTGAGTGCTGTAAAGCTCCGCTTCAAGTCTGATTGTGGTCAACACCTCAAGCCAAAGTCAGGAATGCCACTTCTCCCATCTGCATAGGCTGACACTTGCCCAGATTTTGTGCTTTGTTCAGAGGAACACGACACAAAGGAATGCCTTGAGAATTCTCTTTTCCATTCCTAGTGCCACACACACAGAAGGAATCCAGCCAGCAGAGGAAATAGATTGCCTAGCAGAAGCCAGAAGGTGACCACCAGGCTAGAGGAACGGGAACAGAGATCTAGGGTTGAAAACAAAAAATTGACTTTCTATAGACATTTTGGGAATACATCATATCAATTAAATAGTGACAGGTGAATACAGATGATTATTAAAAGGTGAACAAGGATGGACCACCTTGGAGAACAGAATCAATGACTTCCTAAAGCCCAGATATGTAAAGTCATTTTTGGAAAAAGAACAAAATGTTTATGCTGAAAGAAAAGATGTACCCACCTTATCAAGGTTAAAAAATAGCACCCAAGAAAAGGAATAAGTGTCTTTGGCTAGTATCCCAGCAAAACTAAAGATGCTACACAGGGCCCTGGGGGGATGGCTCAGTTGGTTGGAGCGTCATCCCTACACCAAAAGGTCATGGGTTGGATTCCCCATCAGAGCACATACCTAGGTTGTGGATTCAATCCCAGGTGGGGGCACATATAGGAGGCAACTGATTGATACTTCTCTCTCACATCAATGTCTCTCTCTCTCTATCCCCCACCCTTCCTTCTCTCTCTCTAAAATCAGTAAGAACATGTCCTTGGGTGAGGATTAGAAAAAAGATGCTACACAGGAAAATAAATTAGTATCTTGGCTATTCTGACATGGGAAGCAGAACTCTCTTCTGTTCCTCCTTGTCCCTTTTTTGATGGTAATCAAAATTTACCATCCCAAATCATTTTGAGACAAGTGTTGAAATAAACTGTTAGTTCCAAGATGGTGCCACACCAGCAAACTGAAATTTAGATAAAATCCATGTGCTTGACCAGAAACAGAATATGTCAGCCAATTACCAACCAACAAGACAACTCAGGGTTCTATACTTACTTCCTTGTTCCTTTATCTTTCAAAATAAGGTCAGATACACAACCCTGGCCAATCAACCTAAGCCAAGTGTTTCTTCCTTGTTTCCTGCTTGCAGCCCTTTTCCCTTATTTTGCAGTTTTCTGGATTCTCAAGAGTGAAGACTGCCCCCTTCATGAAGTGTGAAATAAAATCTGCTTAGATAAACTAGATTGTTCTCTTTGATAATTTTAACACAGGGAAATGCTATTATCAGTTATACCAGGACAAAAGGCACACGGACTATCCCAGACGAACCAAGGCATATAATCCCTGAGCTCTAAATAACTACCCATCTATCCACATCCAGGCTTAATCTGGAAATAGTAAAAGATTCTAAGGGCTCTGGGCACTAGTATATTTTAACCTAGCCATGAGCTCTCTCACAGCTAAACCTATTTTCCAAAACAATTCTCAGAATGGAAAACGTTTTTATAGCAGCCAAGAGTCCAGGTCAACCTGACTTTATCTTAGGGTGAGCTGTGCTTTCTAATACTTTGACCAATAAAGAACCAACAAAACTTCGAGTCTGACTTGCTTAAAAGGTAAGGAAAATAGGACTGGTCTTCAGCTACAGAATGTATAGAATGATAACATCAAGGTACTGCAGCCTGTTCTTCTGAGCACTATAGAGTGTGGTATAAGTATTTTAAAAAATGATTTCACTGCATGTAATTCAGGTAAACCATGAAGGAACTTCTATTCTTTCCCAATGGAATCAGCTGGTAATCGTTAAATTTTAGAAAAATCCAACATAGCCAAGAATAGTCCTTCTTAAAGTGTGGTCCCTGGATCACACTGAACATCAGCATCACCTGGAAACTTGTTAAAAATGCAAAATTCTCAGGCTCTGACCCATGTCTTCTAAATCAGAAACTGGAGGAGCAGCTTAGCAGCCTGCGTTTTAACATGATTTTGATGCATGCAAAAGTTTGAGAAACTCTGACCTAGCACTGCACTGTGTAATACAACAACCACTAGCTGTATGTGCTACTTAAATTTAAATTAAGTAAAATGAAATAAAATATTTAGTTCCTCAGTCACACTAGCCACATTTCACACATTCAACAGTCACATGTGGCTAATGACTACTGTACTGGGCAATGCAGATGACAGGACACTTCCATCACTCCAGAATGTTCTACTGGATAAAGTTCTGGCCTAGAGCATCAGGTACAGTGGTCTTGGCTGGAACAGGGAATGGAACCTGGAGTCTAACAACACAGGCATATCTTTTATCTCCTGATTCTCAGTTTAGCCTCAAAGGAAATAGAGGAGGACTAGCTGTTGTTTATCTACTGTTGGCACTAAAATTTCATAAGCTATTAAAACATTAATGGCAGCTCTGGAACATTTGTTATCCTTCAAAAATGCTGACCTTTCTGTGACAGTATTTTAAAAAGAAAAGATTCAAAGAGGGTATTTCAAAATGAATTAGAGGTGATCAGATTTGGGTTTTGATCTGAATTTCGCTATTTATTAGCCATGACAGTACACACATTACTTAATATCTTTATACTTAGTTTTCTTGTGTGTAAAATGATAATTCCTACCTCATTAGGTTCTGTAATGATCAAATGCAATGATACAGACATAAAGCACTTGGCTAGCATTCAATGAATGGACACAAAAATAACCCCTACTATCTAAAGTGACCAGAAAGAATTTAGAAATAAATCTTTCATATTCATTATCTTAGGCAAAACAGAACAACTATCTAATTGCACTCTAGCATTTAGAACTGATGATCGGAGAAAAGGAAGAAAGATGAGAGTTTTATATTGCAAAGAAATGATAAATGCAAGAAAAGGCTATGTGAACCTGAGACCAATAGTAACAAAAATCAGAAGAATCTGGGGAAAGGAATCTTTTTTACGCTTCCTCTAGAATATTAGCAGTTTTAGTGTTTTAAAAGCATACCAAAAAAAAAAAAACCCTAAAAAAAATTTAATTCACAAAACAGATTAGAAGGGAACTAAATGGTAATGGAAAAAATACACTAAGGATGAAAAACGGTAATAATTAAAAAAGAAAATTTTAACCAAAAATAACGGATTAGGATGATCATTTAATAAGTTTCATCATAGGTTACTTTAATTATTACTATTTCTCATATAAGTACATTTAAAGAGTCAAACTTACTTTTACAAGTTTTGTGAGTCAAAAAGACTGTATTAAAGAGAAAAAAACTATTTACAAAAAGAAAAGAGCATGTAAAGTCTGCACATGGTTCAGTAAGGGCCCAGTGTGTGCTCTGTCCCCACATTAACAAACATGGGGAGTCAGGGTTTTTAGAATTTCAACAGTGAGACTTGTAATGTTTAAAAAGCAATGCCTACGTACATCTGTTCTTGTAATATTTTATATATTTTTCAAAACTGTGGTAATATTTATAGATTACAATGCTTTTTTGAGCATGCTTCCTTACAGAACTAATTAACAGGGAAAAGAGAAATCACACCATAGCACAGTAACTTCAGCAGGGTGACTGAAAAAGAGGGAGCAGGATAAGCAGAAGTCGAGTCTAAGGTGCAGGTTGGTGGAGGTGGACGGGCCGGGGTGGTGTGCAGTTCTACTTCCCACCTCCTTTCCCAGATTCATTTATCTTTATTGTGTTCCAAGGGCAGGAACTAATAATTTCCTAGCCCCTTGCCCTGGTTTGGCCTTCTCCACATTCCTGCACATTCTTTTACTATACTCCTAAAATTTTTATCCCTGAACCAGCTGGAGTAACGCTCTCTTAATTTCTGCTCTAACTGCTAGTGGCTTAATCCTTACCCATCTCTTGGACAATAATATGATGTTGACAGTTTCTTATAGTTAACTCTTGAGATTAGGCTTGAGGATGGAAATTCCATCAGAACAACTTACTTGTGGAGTAGCAGCATGCTAATTTTAGCCAAAGCAATTTAACAGTAACAATAAAATTAAGTTATCCTACTTACTTCACATGAAAGCAAGAGTTAACCAGAGTACTTAACACTACATATACTATATACACCACATCAAAGGGACCCGAAATGTCACATTATTTCAAACAATTAATTGTGTCATTACTGTTATAACTGCAGAAAACTCAGCTGATTCACTGGAATACTGCACAGAAGAGTTAACATAGCAAGCCTGAGATTGCCATCCAGGGTCACATATAGTACATCAAAGCTGTCAGTGCTGCTTTGGGATTGGGGATGTGGGCTGGACTGATTGGAAACATTGAGAAGAAACTGGCTGGGTGAGGCATGCATCACAACAGTGACTGTCAGGAGGGAGTAAAAGGTGGCCTGAGGATCAGTAGGTATAAGGAATCAAGATGGAGAGAGAAAAGAACACAGGGGGTTGTCATGGCAATGTGGTTTTGGCTACTGAATGTTGGAACAGCAGTCTAATTAAAGAATTCTGTGGTATTCATTAAAAAAAAAAGAGAGAGAGAGGTTTAACATGGAGAGGGTGTAAAACTGAGAACTCAGTATTTTGACTTTGGAAATTTGTTTTTCATTCCACTGAACCTATCTGGCACAAAGCATTCTCTCTGGCATTGAACTGATGGAAGAAGTAAAGCTTATCTAGGCTTCACATCATTACAACCTGAAATATTTCCATAGTCCAGGAACAGGCTAGCTCTACATGACCTCAGAGAGCTTTTACTAAAGGAGCAGTGGCTCCTGTGCACCTGTGTCCTTGTGCAGGAGTATAGGTCCTCCACAACGAATTCAGAGCGATGAACTCTGAAGAGCATCAAGCTGGATCTAGGAGGCTGTAGGGCCCTCTGAACATACAGTGCTGGGGGAACAGGCTCCTCTGTGCTGAAACAGGCCAGTGGCCGGGATGTAATGTGTGCACTGAAATTGATGTGCTGTGAGTGAGAGGGAATCTACTGTGAAGAACTGAGATTGGTAAAGGTAGTTGACTAAGCAGGTTAACACTAGTTTAACATAGGTGTTAACCTAGGTACTAAGGTTAACATAGGTACTAAAACTGATTTTCTTAGATGGCTATCAAACTATTCCTAAAGGCAATTTCAAAAGAGGAGTTCCAAAACTATATTTCAACAATGGAGTCATTTTTGAAATAACATCATTAACAAATACTGCTCCAGTTAGGAAATTTTTTAAAAATTCAGCAGGGGGAAGATTTTCCCATAAAACTAAAATTAAAAGAGAAGACGCTCAACCTGTTTTAAAGCTTCCTTGAAGGGAAGGTTCAACATCTTATAAGAAGAGTCTCTCTCTTTACACCGGCCAGAGACGACTTACCCAGGGGCAGAGCGCGGGTCACATTAGCAGCTGGAGGGTCTGTTTCTGGAGGACAGAGCTCACAGAAGTCCCAGCATGCAGGGCAGAGCAGGTTTCCGTCGTGAATCCAGCCGTTCATCTGAGTACTAACAAAGAGGACCTGCCCGGCACGACTACACAAATATGAAGTGTTCTGGACCCAAACCTTTAGTCCTTGTGGAGAACAAGAAACCTTCAAACAGAATTTAAAAAGATCACATCAGTAAGTATACTGACCTTCTTCTTCATTTGCAGAAAAAAAAATTAGATTCTACTAAAAATACTGGCCATAAAACACAATTTGGGATATAAACATTTTAAAACAAATGTTTGTTTTTCGAAGTTGTTTTTTAAAAGAACTTCATGTTAATTTCAATTATGCTACTTCACTTTAAATATTTTAAAACTTCTTTCCTGGAACTGTCTTCAAAGCAAATGCATGCTTCTGAAAACACAGGTTTGGTGATAGCAAATTTTTACTTTATAAGTGGATATAGTTTCCCAGAACTGAATCTGATAAAGGTAGTTGACTAAACTGGTTAACACTAGGTTAACAGAGCTGTGATGTGAAGTACTAAAAGTGAATTTCTCAGATCGCTACTAAACCATTTCTAAAGGCAATTTCAAAAGAGGAATTCCAAAAATGTATTTCAACAATGGGGTCATTTTTGAAATAATTCTATCATCAATTAAGTTTAAATATAATAATCATTTGGAAATTTAAGTTATAATATGCTTTTAAGAAAATAAACAACAAAGAGTAACCTCTTCCATAGCCTGTGATTCAATGTCTCAAACCTAATGAGCATCACCATGGCTATACTGCAAGGCAATCATCTTTTAAGTGAGAAGTGATTATTGTGTTTAGTAAAAGGATACAAAAGAAGTTCACAAAACAATGCCTGCCCTCTAGCAGCTTTAACTGAGGAAACAAGGGAGAGATACACATTTTTTTCTTTAAGTTGTGCACAGGATTTGGATCACAGGGAGGGAGAGGGACTGTGACCTGGTGGGTTGCGTAGAGTCTTGTGGGAGGGGCGGGCAACGATGTGGGGATGCGAGAAGGTGAAGAAGATATGGACAGATCAAATAAGTAACATACTGAGGACAATGAAAGCCAGAGTGACAATTTCTCACTGTCAGAGAAAGGAGTTACAAATATAGAAAAGGAGAAAACTAAAATGAACCCTTTGGTGTTACACTGGAATCAAAGATATTGGTGCAAAATCATGGTGATATATTTACACATGTATGAGTAGTATATATAAAATTACATTATGCATATATTTCCTGTTTCTGAAAAGGGCCTGGAGAGTAGCTATATTTCAGTAGCAATGAAAAGTACATCTAGCACCTTAATTTCTAAATTTCTAAATACCTTAATTTCGAAATACCACACTCCACTGAAATAAACTAGAGTTCCTTGGAGAAATGGTTGATTCTAGACAGGGGCAAAGAAAGTAAAGATGGTTCTAGAATATCTTGGCCAGAGAGCTAGGAAATATTAAAAGAAAGATGGGGACAAGTCAAAAAACACAGGATTCAAATTATAGGGGCTCCCCCTGGCCAAAGCTAGAGCAACTTCAGTATCAAAATAAATAACGACAGTAATGATATTACCCCCAATACTTATTAACTACAAAGGTAATTAATTAAAACAGAAACAAAAACTTGTCAATGGAAAAGCCTGGTATACCAACACATTTATATCACCAACAAAGGGACAAATCAAAAGAATGTACCACCAGAACACGAGCATCACTTCTGTGACATTGCTGACCAAAATACATGACCTGAATTTAATAAAATATCAGATATCTTTTCTCCTAGAGAAGAAATGGTTTGTAATCTTTAAATATGTCAAGGTTATGAAAGTCAAGAAATGACTGAAGAACTGTTGCAGACTGAAAAACAGAGACAGAAAAACAACTACGCAATGCGTGACACTGGTCCAGGTCCTACTGCTACAAGGACATTACTGGGACCACTGGCAAAACTTGAATGGGGTAGAAGAATTCTATGTATCAATGTTAATTTCCTAGTATTTTTTATAGTATTGTGGTTGTGTATGAAGACATCCTTGTTTACACGAAATACACGTTAAGTCCTAACCAGTTTGGCTCAGTGGGTTGGGCATTGTCCCACAAACCAAAAGATTATTGGGGCACATGCCTGGGTTGTGGGCAGAGTGTGTGGCTGGGGGCCTGTGGGAGGCAACTGATGGATGTGTCTCTTCCACATTGATATTTCTCTCCCTTTTTTTCTCCCTCCCTCTCTCTAAAAATAAATAAATAAAATCTTAAAAAAAGAAATATATATTAATATACAGGGTCTCACACAAATAATGCCCCTTATTACAAAATCATTTATTACAAAATCATAAGTATGTAATTCTGTAACATAACAATTTCACACTCAAGCACACTGTATGACATTTTAGGTGAAATGTTCAAATTAAAACTGTAAATTATTACACCCACATTATTACCCTACCAACCACACTCAAGCAAGCATTACTTCTGCCAGACCCTGTATTTGGGGCTAAAAGGGCAGCATATCAGCAATTTATACTTCAATGACTCAAAAAACTTTTTTTTGGCCTGGCCAGTGTAGCTCAGTGCTGGACTAAGTGCTGGACTGCAAACCACAGGGTCGCTGGTTCAGTTCCCAGTCACGGCACATGCCTGGGTTGCAGGCCAAGTCCCCAGTAAAGGGCATGCAAAAGACAACCACACACTGATGTTTCTCTCCCTTTCTCTCTCCCTTCCCCTCTGTCTAAAAACAAATAAATAAATAATCTTAAAAATAATTTTTATACCATTCTTGCAATTTCTGTCAAAATAAGGAAAACAAAAAATACAATGTTAACCTCTATGTGAATTGTTTAAATCACACATCCTTCCCCCTCATAAACAGTGGCTAGTATTAAATTAGCAAAGTTAATTGACAATACTAGGTACAGGGAAGTCAAATAGTACATTCGATCTTTATGGCTGGTGTTTCAAATCTGCATAATCCCTTTGGGGTAGTGGTAGTATTGATTACACGTTAAAATAGCCTGAAAAGGTCATCTTCGTATTATAGCTGCCACTGTTCTAGCTTTATGCCTTTAACCTAATATTCTCACTTATAGAAATTTATTTCTAAAAATAAATTTTGAAAAAGGTAAAATATGTAATTATATTTATAAAAGCATTTCTACAGAGTGAAAACTCAATATATAACAAGAAAGTGACTTTCGAAATTATGATGCAATGTTCTAAAGTGATAAAGAATAGTTAATATTATTATTGGAAAAATGTGAAAGGGGTGTTTTGCTCTGCATAAAAAGTACTAAGCCCTGGCTGCTCGGCGGGTGGTTGAGGGGGGTGCATAAAAGGCAACCATACATTGATGTTTCTCTCCCTCTCTCCTTTCCTTCCTTAAGATAAATAAATAAATTTAGAAAAAAGTTATGTAGCCCTGGCTGGTGTAGCTCAGTGGATTGAGCGCAGGCCTGTGAACCAAAGGATCGCGGCTTGATTCCCAGTCAGGGCACATGCCTGGGTTGCAGGCCAGTTCCCAGGAGGGGACACATGAGAGGCAACCATACACTGATATTTCTCTCTCTCCTTCCCTTCCCCTCTAAAGATAAGTGAATAAAATATTTTTAAAAAAGTACTAAGTGAAGGAAGTAAAACAAAATTATGTATTACAATTACAATATGTCAAAACTATGTTTTAATCAATATATAAATCTTTAATGAAATTTATCAGAAAATGGTTGCTAGATTATAGTTGTCAGATTACAGCTAAAAAGTGTTCACTTTTAATCATCTTTTATAAGATTTCAAAAATAATATTATATGAATAGTATGATGTATAAAATATATATCAACAAAGCTGTTACTCCAAATATTTTAACTTTTTAAGTAACTTTAAAAATCATATTTAAATTCCCAGCTACAGAAGTCCATTTAGCTTTTGCAGATGAAATGGTACAACAAATTCTTATTTTTCACTTCTCAGAAGCACACTCTCTTCCTTCATATCCATTAGTATGATACATAATATTAATTAAATTGAATCCTCCTGAGTTACAGAATGCCTGTGTTTCAGTAAGTTTTTAATAAGGTGATACACTCACTTAATACCAGACATGCAAATAAGATAATTAAGAAAATAGTAATTTGCCCCCTTTGGATTTCTACTTTCAAAGAAAAAAACTCTATTATTAATGAGTAGTTGATTTATGAATTCTTAGAGCCACACTTTCCTCAGGGCTCATGAAATAAAATTGTAAATTTTTTCCATTTAAAGTAATATGTATTCAAGAACAAAATTATATATTTTCCATTACTTCCTTAGGATATATGCCCAGAAGTAAAATTATTGTAAAACTTACTGATATATCAAACATATACGTATTTAAACAAATAGAGAAAGGCAATTTCCCTAAAAAAAAGAGTATTTTTCACAAAACACAAATGTCCAAACTAATTTTGACATAAATAAACCTAAGTTAAAGTATTTATTAATCAGTAAATTAACTATAAAAAGATAAAATGTAGTTTAAAATATAAAAACCAAATAACCAGATAAAACTATACAATATTTGGTATAGTTATTAACAATCATGTAATTTACCTGATAACACCCACTCCCCCAGTCCGGGTAACTCAGCTTCCTTTCACACTTTTCCATGACAAAGGCTGATTTCTGAATTAGACAGACTGAATGAGGTCCATACTTTTCAGCACCATAGTTTTTAAAAAGGTCTGAAGCAAACCAGAAAAGTTTTCTTAAAAATTGATTGTTGGCTCAAAAAACAAAAAATTGAAGTATTCCATTTTTATGATTTAAGGTTGTTTTAAAAACAAACATGTTTAATGGAAATTTTCAGTTACAGAAAATCAAGAGAAAGAAGGCTCCAAACTCATATTGCGTTCTCAATACAGGAACTAGTGGGAGAAAATTATTACACCAGAAACAAGTGATAAAACTCAGCCTAAAGTATTTTAAGTAAGATATATAGAGGAAATGGCAGTAAGAGTCACGTTCACTAGTCGTTCACTAGTCGCCTAAATAGGAGTCACCTCCTAAATGACCCAGAATAGAATGAAGACAACAATGAAAGCTTTTTGGGGGTGTAACTTTTGAGAAATTTCTTTTGTATTTTCAACTTATGCCATCCAGTTAAATCTGCCAGGTTTAAGAATAAAATTTTATGGAAATTTAAAATCTAAATGACTTAATCTGTAATGAGGTATGGAATAAGAAAGGAGAGGAGGAAGGACAAAGTTAAAAATTTTGATGACCACTGAAAGAAAAACTACTTATTGCTGTTTGGTAACATGTCAGATGTGAAGACGTTTTATATACAAAGGTGGATACTATGAGCTCTATTACTGCTGAATATCCAATTGCCATATTGTTTATTCTGTTGGTAACCTGACATTCTGTTAATTTATATGTATTAAAAAAGAATAAATAATATGGCAACATCTTACTACCCATGGATAACAATATTATTCTGATATCTGAAGAATGTTATTTCTAAATTATATAAAATGCACATTCCTCAGGAGGGGAAAAAATAGGATACTTAATGTGATTAACTAAAAAGAGCTCTCCATTGGAGAATCTTGCACTAACACTAATTAACTGTATCCTCTAGTGTCTTTTCATTCATCTGTGAAATTCAGTATCTTCTCTATGTCTCTCATCAGGTTTTTAGAAGAACAAAATGAAATATAAGTCCTGGCAGGTATGGTGCAGTGGTTGGAGCATCCTTCCTTAACCAAAAGGTTGCAGCTTCGATCTCAGCTGGGGTACATGCCTGGGCTGCGCATCATCCCCCATCCGGACCAGGCCATGTCCAGACAAGTACAATCCCAGCCCCAGATCAGATCGCTGGTCTGGATGTAAGCAAAGGCAGCCAATCAATGCTTCTCCAGCATCGATGTTCCTCTCTCTCCAAAAAAGCAAATGAAAAATGTCCTCAGGTGAGTATTAAAACAAAAAAAGAAATATAAAAATGAAAGTGCTTAGCAAATGAAAAGTGTCATGCAGATGAAAGGTATTACTAAAAAGCAGTGTATGTATATATATTGGAATCTAATAGCTAGCAATCCTTTCTATGTGTCATGGTTCTAAGCTCCTATTACATTAATTCATTTAATTCTTACTACAACTCTATTAGATAGGTATTATTATCCCCTGTGTACAGAGGATGAAACTGAGGCACAGAGAAGCTGGGTTATTTACAATAGATGGAACCACAAGACAGACACTCTAACTCCAGGGTTTATGCTCTTAACCACTATTGCACATTGCTGATATACAACTGTAATATGTTTATAGCATTTCATTTCTCTAGAATACTAACCTGGTTGATTTTCCAATATTCTACAGTCTGAGCTGCGCTGATATTCACCACTTAGATGCCAACTGAATTCCTGACTGAAAGGGCAGTAGTCAGCAATTTCTACTGAACCACCATAATAAGGCAAATCTTCTGCGGGTATTCCATTGAGTGCATCAAAGTACTACAAAAAATTATTAGGAAGAGAGGAGAGAAAGAAACATTTTGTATAATCAAAACAAAGTCCACAGGCAATTTACAGCAACCCTCTAATGCTGAATAACACAAAAAAGATATTAATGTAATTTTCTTCATATATAGTACAACACAAAGATAGTAATATACTACCTCAGGGGTGTTAAAGTTATTGTAGTTTTAGAAATAAGCAAAGTAAACTAGTCTAAGTTTTTTTATTAGATGACAAATTTGACTAGTGTTTTTACAGGATAAATTGGAAGGCTTTTAAGAGTTGACAAAACGTAAAACAAGTATAGAATTAAGATTTTAAATAAAATTTACTGGAAGTAATTTTAGGAGACTTAATTTATATATTGTTCTGACAAACTTGAAGAACTAAAACTGAGAAAATTGAAAGACATCACATACAATACTTTCAACACCAAAGGAACAAGGTACCAGATAAATCTTAAAGACTTCACACTTTGCACCAACTCACTGAATTACAGTACTATGTCTAGAAATATAGTTGGCATCATATGGTGTCTGAAACATTCAAAGAAAGGTCATAAACATATGTAGGAAGCTCAAAATTTAGCTGCAATAATTTTAAATCAGCTTCATGAATACAATGTCTGACTAAAGTATCCTTCAAAAACAACAGGCAGAGCTAAGGCTTTTTAGAGATAGACATGGCAACAAAAACTGAGATACATGGAACACACTGGCAATGTTACAGGGGAGGGTGGTGGTAAGACCCAGAAGAGATTAGCCAAAGAACATATATGCATATATGTATAGCCCATGGACATGGGCAAACAATGTGGTGAAGGCTGGGGTGGCGGTTGGGGACAGGGGCTGGGCAGTCAAGGGCAGAGGAGGGAAAAGGAAGGACATCTATAATAGTGTCAACAATTTAAAAACAACTTAAAAGGTCAAATCAGAGATTCTGACTGAACGTATGGGACCATTTCCTTCACCTTTTAGATTTCTTGAGTGAATTCTAAAGTATAACTTCCAAGCCTTTAATTAATTGGCTTAGAGTACCTCTGTTATTTTCTTTAAAGAACTTTGTTTTCTGTGTAAATTAGAGGAAATTAAAGATGAAGACTTTGGAAACAATTAGAAAGAAAGAAATACAGTTTAAAATATTTCAATCAAAAAAATAAAAATATTTAGATCAAAATAAATATTCTAAGTATCTCTTAACTATTTCTATAAAGCATTGCCAGATATTAATTACTATCAATCAGCACAATGGTTAAAAGAAATGGAAGAATTCCTCAGTTTTGTCTGACTTATAGAAAACAAATGAAGCCTTATAAACTGAAAAACTTATGAGAATTTACTCTTCTAAGTCAAAATGGAAACTTATTTTTAAAAAGCTGGTTCCCCAAATTGTGCCTCAAATAAGTGCTTACCTGGTACTCTTGAGGCAAAGGTTTTGGAAACTTCTGCAAATTACATACTGCAACTGCTCTCTGGTCCTGTCTGCAAGTTAACTGCAATGGATTGCTTCTGAGGGTGTCACAGTACGGGCTCAATGTCTGCCTCCTGCATACAAGGATGAGCAGCACAACAGTATAAAACTGTCAAGAAAATATTACAAGTCTATTCTTTCCCATTATAAGCTTATCTTTTCCATTATAATTTCAATATGTTTTTAATAACTTAAAACCAATTGCTAAAACAAGTTGAAAAACTTGTTTTTCAAAGGATAAAAGGAACACAACGTAGTTGTGAAAGATTAACGCAAGATGTGTTATAACATTATTTCACTGCTATTAAATAAAATCCTATTTATCTCTTTCTCCATGTTTGTCAGTAAAATGGAGATTTAAAGACCTGATTTTCATTTTTGATGACAAATACTGAAAATCCAGATTCTGCTGTAAAATACAAATCCTTATAATTAACAAATGGAGTCTCAGAAACAAATGGACACGTTGTCTCCTTTGTCCTGCAGTTACAAAGAGTGAAATATTTTCTGTGCCACGATCTAGTTCAAAGAATGTTTGATAATTTGTTAAATTAAACACATTCGTAATACAATCTTGTTCTTCTGTGCAAAATGAAGGTTATGTGAATATCTTAATTGTTACAACTTGTTCTATTAGCTCTGTTAAATCTAATCTTGGAGGTACAATTTAGAAAAAAGGGTCTTGTAATTCTCCAAAGGCATCAGAATCTGTTGCACTGATCAAAATAGCCTTCAAACAAACCTAAAACTCTGATTAGTCAGCTATTGATAATTGTAATACAAATATATTAATGCCATAATAGTAATGTTATAAATGAAATTATAGTATTCCTAAACAATATAAATCCCATTAAGACTTGTCTGCCAAATTATAACAAAATCCCTGATAATTTTCCTCTTCTCTCATATTCTTTTTAAAAAAATATTTTATTTATTTATTTTTTTAGAGAGAGGGGAAAGGAGAGAGAAGGAGAAAGAAACATCAATGTGTGGTTGCCTCTCACGTGGCTCCCACTGGGGACCTGGCCCACAACCCAGGCATGTACACTGACTGGGAATCAAACTGGCAACCCTTTGGTTTGTAGCCCGCGCTTCTCATATTCTTATTAAGGAAAAAAGTACAGGTCAGATTTATTTGAAGGAAGATTGATACTTGCCTCATTTAACTTATTAGAGTGTAGCCCCCAAAAATCTCTAGGGAATTACAGCTTCTTGAGATAACATGTATAAAATACTGACCAGTCTTTGGTAAACTTGAAGGAGCACAGTATAATAGGAAAGCAAAGGTATCATTACACAGGTTTAGTTTCACGTACTGGCTTCTCTGGTGTTAACTTTCCTGAGCTTCAACTATAAGGCTCTCAGTGCCTAGTACATATAGCTTACTCAATAAATGTAATTTCACCATGTATACCATTTTTATAAAATCTTCATATAAGGCAATTTTATAACTTTCTATAATAAAGTTTCTAATGAATATGACTAGTAGTTCTTATTAAGGCACTTTCTTGATACCATGAAATGAATTTCCTTTTTCTCTAAAATAAAACAGTACATAATATTTACTTTAATTAAAAAATGAGTTATGGCTAAATAAATAAAAAATAATAAGGATGTTAAAGGATAATGATTTAAAAAACCCCAAAGTTAGAGTTGTGCCAGATTCACGGGCTACATTCCACAGTAGCACTGCCCGGTAGAATTTTCTGTAATGTATCTGTGCTGTCCACACATACATTATAGATACTATATGATCAGTGGCTACTAATACTGAAATGTGACTAGTGCAACTGTAGAGCAGAACTTTAAATTTTACTTAACTTTAATTAATTTAAATAAACATTTATATAGTCAATTGTGGCTAGTGGCACCTGAACAGTGCTGCTCTCAAGCTGATATTCATGTCAAAGAAACTAGGCAGAGGAGTTGGGTAATGTATCATTTTAGTTAGAACCTTATTTTGTGTGTACATAGATTCAAGTAATTCAAATAAATGTGGCTCTGACTGTGCTCAGCCGTACCCTTTTCACACCAGTCACCCAACAATGGAAAAGAAGAGGTGCTGCAGCTGAACTTAAGCAAAGAAGGGTCATGCTAAAATTTCTGTGATGACTTAGGGATATATCTAGACTTGGACAGTGGTGCCAGAAGTTGGCTTCTGTCCTGTAAATGCCTGTGGACATCGATACTTTACACGTAGGACATTTGAATTTTATGGCAGGGGTTAGCAAAATTCAACTTTTTGTCTGCGACCCTTGCCCACAACCTGTTTTTGTAAATAAAGTACTACTGGAACATGGCCATGTCCATTCATTTTGTCCATGGCTGCTCTTGATGTACAAAAGCAATGCTGAGAGTTGTGACCACAAACTGAATGATTCTCAAAGCCTAAAATATTTATATTACTTTTATTTAAAATATTTATTAAAGTAAAATATCTGGCTCTTTATAAAAATAAGTTTGCTAATCTCTAGCTTATGGTTCAAAGGATAGGAGAGAATCCAGGGGACCAACAGTTTCAGTTCTGAAAAATGGAGAAGAGGAAATTTCCTTCTGTTTTGGTTTTAGGTAATCCTATAATTTGAACCCAAAGGGCAACAGACTTGCAACTATTAAAAGAAAAAATAATCTCTCTAAACTCTTGCAGCTGCAAAGTTAGCTACACACTTTCTTTAACACACGGGAACAGTGGGTCCCAAATTTTGCTGTACATTGAAATCACCTGGCAATCTCTTTAAAAAATAAGTAATGCCTGGTTCCCACCTCCACACATTATGACTTAACTGGTATAGGTAGCAACATGGGCAGGGAGACTTAAAAAGTCTATCTAGATAAGCCCTAGCCAGGTGGCTCAGTTGGCTTGAACATCGGACGTCCTGTACACCAAAAGGTTGTGGGTTCCATTCCCAGTCAGGGTACATAGCTGGGTTGCGGGTGCAATCCTTGGTCGGGGCAACCAAGAGATGTTTCTCTCTCTACCTACCCCCTTCCTCTCTCTCTAAAACGAACAAATATATCCTCAGGTGAGGATTAAATAAAATTTCTCTAGATGATTCTAACGTGCAGCAAAATTTGGGAAAACTGACCTGCTATACCAGCAGATCAGGTTGTAGTGCTGGAGTTACATAGCTGGCTCCAAAGTAGCTGCAAGTGCTTTCTGCTACTGCATATTAGCTACTCTTCTTACCACGGGGTTATAACTAAGGTGCCAGACTTCTTAGTAGTAACTGTGAGTAATATAAACTGCTCTGAGACCTAACCTAGGTAAGAAATAAGAATAACATCTACAGCAAAAGAAGTACCTGTGATTTAATGGGCAAAGTACTAAACTTGGAGAAAGAAGTTCAAGTCCCAGCTCTGTCCTTCATCAGCTATATTACCCTAGCCAAGTGACTTATCTCAAACTTTTTACTTATCAGAAGAACAAAAATGTTAGTTTTTAAAAATCATATTTCAAAAAATATATTTTTATGAATTATAAGCTGAACAGAAATGTTTTATGTATTTATGAATTATAAGCTAAACCAAAATGTTTTATAGTTCTGGCTCGTACACTGTAGATTCTTTAAGTATCTGATTTAAAACAAGACTGCTACTGTATCACCAAGCACCATAGAATATGAACTGTTCAGACCATATTTAGAAAACAGTGACACTGTAGGCTCCAGATAATGAACAAAATCAAATAAATTCTGTTATCAAACAATCTGAGGAAACATATTCTTACTCTTTTCTCTGCTGATCAATCCAGAATTTACAGCTCTTCCTGACAAAGTCACAGCCCATTCCTCGGCCCCAGTCTAACTTCTCAGCCATGCTGTAATTAGCTTTATACCAGCTGTGGAAATAATTCAAATGAAGCACTTTTTATTATCATCAATTAAAAGGAGTTCCAGCATACCCATGACAGATCTCAACAGTGAGAAAACCAGGATCTCAAACAGGACTTTGGTGACCATTGCCACAGACAAGTGTTACTGAGAAAGCCCTTGCTGCACAGGATTACTGGAGCAGGGACTGGGAAACTTGGGTCTTACGGTGAGGTTATTCACAGTTGGAAAAAACATGTTTCCATTGTAATCTCCAAAAATAACGTAAGTCACAGAGCAGAAACTGGTTAAGGTGGGAGACAAAGGGAATAAGGCACAAAGACACAAAATAGAATGAGAGAAAAAAAAGAACAGAGTAAATTGAGAAATAAACAGTGGAATTATTAGCTGGCTAGCCTTGACCTAATCTGATTCAGCTGACCCTAGCTCCTTGCTCCTCTGGCCTTGAATTTGTGCTGTTTTATCAATACAGGTCCTACTTGTGATTAAACAACACACTGTTATAAGACAAATGAATAAAATGTGTAACACTTTTTAAATGTTCTCATTTCAGAAAAAAACTAATTGATTCAGTTTCCTGGCAAATTTAACCACAAGCTTACTTCTTACTTTTATTAGTTTTTCTTCTTTAAATTATGTTTTATTTATCAATTATAGTTGACATACAATATAATATTAGTTTGGGACATATACCCCAGTAATTAGACATTATATAACTTACTAGGTGATCATTGCTGATAAATCTTACCCATCTGACACCTTACAGTTATTAGAATATTATTGACTATATTCCCTATGCTGTACTTTACATCTCAAGACTATTCTGTAATAACCAATTTGAATTTCTTAATCCCTTCACCGTTTTTACCCACTCCCTCTACATCCCTCCCATCTGGCAACCTTCAAAATGTTCTCTGTATCTATTATTCTGTTCCTGTCTGCTTGTTTGTTTGTTTTAGATTCAATTGTTGATAGACATGTATTTATTGCCATTTTAATGTTCATAATTTAAAATCTTTTTTTTCCTTCTTAGAAAAGACCCTTTAACATTTCATGTAATACTGGTTTGGCGAGAATGACCAAAAGTTCATTTAGCTTTTTCTTGTCTGGGAAGCTCTTTATGTCTTTGTATTCAATTCTAAATAATAGCTTCGCCGAGTAGAGAAATCTTGGTTGTAGGTCCTTGCTTTTCATCATTTTAAATATTTTTGCCACTCCTTTGGCCAGCAAAGTTTGGTGAGAAATCAGCTGACAGTCTTATGGGAGCTCCCTGGTACATAACTGCTTTTCTCTTGCTGCCTTTAAGATTCCCTCTTTGTCTTTAACTTTGACATTTTAATTATGTGGTCTTGGTGTGGGCCTCCTTGCTTTCATCTTGGTTGGGACTATCTGTACTTCCTGAACTTGTATGTCTATTTCATTCACCAGATTAGGGAAGGTTTCTGTCATTATTTCCCCAAATAGGTTTTCAATTTCTTGCTCTCTCTCTTCTTCTTTCAGCATCCCCATGACGCAAATGTTGGTATGCTTGAAGTTGTTCCACAGGCCCCTTACATTTATCTTCATTTTTTAGATTACTTTTGCTGTTCCGATTGGGTGGTTTTTGCTTCCTTATATTCCAAATCACTGATTTGATTTTCAGCTTTATTTACTCTACTGTTGATTTCCTATAAATTATTCTTCTTTTTGGTTAGTGCTTCCTTCATTTCTGACTGGTTCTCTTTTAAAGTTTCTATGTACTTTTTCACGCTGATGAATTTCTCACTGAGTTCCTTAAGTTTTTACTAAGTTACTTCAACATCCTTACACCCGCTGTTTATACTCTGTACCTAATAGTTTGCTTGCCTCCATTTCATTCTGTTTCTTTCCTGGAAGTTTCTCCTGTTCTTTCATTTGTCTCTGCATTTTGGCTGTTTCCTGATGTTTATTTCTACGTATTAGGTAGAACTGCTATGTCTCCTGGATTTGGCAGAGTGGCCTTGGTCCAGTAATGCAAGCTCCCCAGTTTTCTGAGCCAGGAACTCCAGGTCCACTCCCTGGCCAATCAGCTGTGAGGACTTGCTGCAACTGCAGCAGTGGAGCTGCTGTGAAGGAGTTGACTCCATAAAGCAGGACTTGCCGCAGTGGAGCTTTGGCATTCATTGAGATTTCCCCTTGAGTATGTTGCTCATAAAGGTGGTAGGGTTGTGGTCTGGTGAGCTGTGAAGCTGTCCACCAGGTGCACTGACTCTGCGGCCTCCCATGAGGTGTGAGGTCAGCCACTATGTGCCCTGCCTGGGGCCATCTGGCCAGAGCTATAGAGCAATTTACAGACAGCTGATACTTACACTGGGTTTAGAGGTGCTCGGAAGAGGCCAATCTGTGAACCAAGGCCAGATGCCATGACTGCTGAGATTAGGGCTACTTAGCAAGAGGTTTGGGGTATACAGAGTCCAGATGCTGCTTGTTGGAGAGATTTTAGGAAGGTCCAAAGCATGAGGCAAAAGAGGCCATCTGTATGGAAAAGCTACTGGAAATGACTTGGGTGGGCCTGCACCTGAGTGGGGTTTTGTCTCAGGAAATCACTAGGGCGGGTCAAACAATGTTGGCCACTTTGATGAAGACTCAGATATGGTGTCTATCCGCTGGCTCTGTGTGGGAGGGGTCTCAGAAAACAAAGGGAGGACTTCTGGCCAAGATGGAGGCATAATGCCTCTTCGCACAACCAAAAGAAAGACAACAAATTTAAAAACAAAAAAATAACCAGAACTTCCAGAAAATCAAACTGTATGGAAGTCTGACAACAAAGCAGTTAAAGAAACATTCACCCAGACTGCTAGAAGGGGTGGAGATGGGCAGCCTGGGGTAGAGAGGACACTCAATAAGGTGAGACAACAGGGGAGTGAGACAGATTGGGAAACTCAGAGTTCCAGCATGGGGAAAGGAAGCCTCAAAACCTCTGACTGAAAAAACCCTGTGGCAGTTGCAGTGGCAGGAGATACTCCCAGCTTCACAGGTTCATTGGAGAGACCCACAGGGTCCTAGAAAGTACACAAACCCAACCCCCTGCTGGGAATCACCACCAAAAGGGCCCAATTTGCTTGTGGGTAGTGGGAGAAGTGAGTGAAAGCCCGCCGAGAGCTGAGCAAGCAGCATTGTTCCTTCTTGGACCCCTCCCCTACATACAGCACCACAACATAGCAAAGTGGGTTGCCCTTCCCTAGCAAATACCTAAGGCTCTGCCCCTTACTGCATAACAGGCACACTGAGCCAAAAAAAATATGGCCCAAATGAAAGAACAGATCAAAGTTCCAAAAATAGAACTAAGTGATGAAGAGATAGCCAACCTATCAGATGCAGAGTTCAAAACACTGGTAATCAGGATGCTCACAGAACTGGTCCAGTATGGTCAAAAAATAGAGGAAAAAGTGAAGACTATGAAAAGTCAAATAAAAAGAACATGTACAAGGAACAAACAATGAAGGGCAAAAAAGCAGGAATCAAATCAACGTTCTGGACCAGAAGGAACAAATAAACATTTAACCAGAACAGAATGAAGAAACAAGATTTCAAAAAAAAATGAGAAGCTTAGAAACCTGTGGGACAACTTTAAACCTTCCAACATCTGAAGCATAGAGGTGCCAGAAGGAGAAAAGGAATAGCAAGAAATTGAAAGCTTCTTCCAAAAAAACAATAAAAGAGAACTTCCCTAATCTGGCAAAGGAAATAGAATTCCAGAAAGTCCAGAAAGCTCAGAGAGTCCCAAAGAAGTTGGACCCAAGGAATCACACACCAAGGCATATCATAATTACATTACCCAAGATGAAAGATAAGGAGAGAATCTTAAAAGCAGCAAGAGAAAAGGAGACAGTTACCTACAAAGAAGTTCCAAAAAGACTATCAGCTGATTTTCAAAAGACACCTTGCAGGCAAGAAGGGGCTGGAAAGAAGTATTCCAACTCATGAAAGGCAAGGACCTACATCCAAGATCACGCTGTCCAGCAAAGCTATCATTTAGAATGGAAGGGGAGATAAAGTGAGTCCCAGATAAGGTCAAGTTAAAGGAGTTCATCATCACCAAGCCCTTAATCTATGAAATGTTAAAGGGACTTATTTAAGAAAAAGAAGATCAAAACTATGAACAGTAAAATGACAACAAACTCATAACTATCATCAACTGAACCTAAAAACAAAAACAAAAAGAAACTAAGCAAACAACTAGAACAGGAATGGAATCACAGAAATGGAGAGCACATGGAAGGTTATCAGCACGGAAGAGGAGGGGGAAGAATGGGTAAAAGGTACAGGGAATAAGAAGCATAAATGGTGGGTACAAAATAGACAGGGGGAGGTTAAGAATAATATGGGAAATGGAGAAACCAAAGATCTAATATGTACAGCCCATGGACATAAACTCAGGTGGTGGAATTCTGGTGGGAGATAGGGTACAGTGTGGAGGGGAATAAAGGGGAGAAAAAGAATGGGACAACTGTAATAGCATAATAAATAAAATATATTAAAAGAGAAAAATGCCTCTGCCAGCACTTTCGTCTGGCAGAAAGCTGCTGCCCTTCCCCCTGATCCTCCCTATTATCCTGATGTCAGACAATTCAGTTTCTCCCTGTGTGTCCCTGGTTCCTTTCATGCTACTGCCCAAGTGCTGGGAGCTCAGAGGGAGTGAGTCTGAGTAAGTCGGTGCTTGGGCCCTTTAAGAGGAACTGTCTGGAACTCCAGAAGCCTTCAAGCTCACTCAACCACAATCTCCACTGGATTTTATAGCCAGAAGTATGCGGACTTCTCTTCCTGACATTGAAACTGGAAGGCCCAGTGTGGGGCCAGGAACCCTGGTTTGGGCCAGGAATCTGTGCTCCTCACTGGGAATCTCCGCAGTTGAGATATCCCTCCCAATTTTAAAGTGCCAGGTGTGGGTGTGCGACCAGTCTGTTGCATGTCTTCGCCCCTCCTACCAGTCTCGATGTGGCTTATTCTTTAAATCCCTGGTTGTAGGACTTCCATTCAGCTAGATTTC